GGGGACGGGGTGTCCATGCTCCGCTGACCCCACCCCTTTGCCCTGAAGGCTGGGAAAAGTCATCACTAACAGCTACTGAGCAGTTGCTACGCGAGGAGCACTTGCCCAAGCCCTCTGCTTGAATTCACATATTTAATCCTCACAGCCCAACCCTAGGAGGTAGATTTTGTTATTGTGCCCATTCTCACACCTGGGCAAACTGAAACATGGAGAGGTCACACAGGAAAGAAGAATTCCTGGCATCCCAGGCACCACGCTGGTCGGTGATTAAAATTCCTAGCCAAGCTAAGTAACTTGCTGGGGACACGTAGCTCGCCACAGACAGATTCCTTGGTGGTCGCGGCCTCTGCCTGCTCTGCCCATTGGCAGGATGTCTACCAGCCTCTCCTGGGTGCACAGTTCCACTAAGGATCCATGATCCTCCACCTGCAAAAGACCCTCGCCCTTTTCTGGGTGAGCCTCCTCCAGCTATCTGCTCAACCCACTTCCCCACCCACGGTGAGGATGTCTTCAAGGCCTTCTCTCCCATCCTCAAAATTCCAGCTGCCCCCTCCTGTCGATCTCCCACCTCTCCCTGACCCACAGCCTTGCACCCTACTTCCCAGAGAGCCGGCCAGTGCCATCAGCAGAACCCCTCCCTCCTCTTCCTGCTCCCAGTCCTGACACACCCACCTTCCCGTTGTCTGTCTCCTGTTCTAACAGAGGATGGTCCTTCTTCCCTTGTGAATTGCAGACCTATCCTTTCTAAATGCCTGTGGATTCAGCTCTGCCAATGTCTCCCTCCTTCCAGGTCCGCAGCTTAGAATCGTAGGCATACCCTTAGCCTGCTCTTCTCCCTCAGCCCCATACCAAGCCCTGTCTATTTTATGTCCTCAATATTTCTTGAGTGAGCACATTTTCTGTCTCTCCATCTCCGTCCTAGGCCAGGCTATCATTATCTCTTGGGGGTACCCATCTACAACTTCCTAGTGGGTCTCCTTGCACTTGGACATCCCCTACAATCTGTTCCCCAGAGTAGCCTCAAGAAGCAAATCTGATCGTCCATGTGTCTGCTTAAAACTGATCAAGGGGAAAAACAGTCAGAATAAAGGCAAATTTCTCTGACATGAGCCCCAGGGTCCTGCATTTTCCGATCCCTGTCTACCTCTCAATCTACTTGTTTTGGACCCAGCATAATCGTTCAGTTTAAAGAGTTTGATCTCTCTCACCAGCTCTGCAAATCCCCCAGTCCTCTCTCCATTAATTGCCCCTCCTCTATCTTTGCAATTCTTAACTATTTGAATTTCCATTAGAGCTATGTTGGGCCTCCCCATCCTACCTTCCATGTCTCCTAGCTGCTTTGTCATGGTTGTTGGGGTGGTTGGTGAGGTAGGCTGTGAAAGAATTCACAAAGAGAAGAAAGTGCAGGGCGTAAAAGCTTTCATTTTCATTTTCCAAGGGAGGGAAAGGGCTAGGTGGCGAGATCCACAGGGGCACCAGCCCTGGTGGGTCGGGGCTTGGCGCTTTTATTACATGATTGGGTGGCTGTAGAGCAGAATGTTGCAGTTGGTCTTGTCCAGGCTGCAACTTGTTTCAATGTTATCTTTGGGCACAGGGTCTGGGCTGGGTCACTGTGCTGTGGTATGTTCTGTTTTGTGAGTTTCTGGAGCCTCTGCGCCTTCAGGGAGCTTCCAAGAATTTTCTAGTCCTGAGGACAAGGCTCATAAAACAGTTAGGATCAGTCATTCTCTAAGGGGTCCAGCAGCTCTGGCAAAGAGGGTCTGAGAAGGGGGGTTTTGTCCTACTAATAGTTTCTACCTCTTTATGTCTTGGCTAAATTCTGGATAATCCCTTCAACTATCTCTTTGAATCCACCCATGCTTTTTACTCATTCACTGAATTTTTCATTTTAATATCAACAACTTTTCTAGAAAGTCTATTGTTTCTTTTCAAATCTAACCAATTTCCCCCACCCCACCCACCCGCGGAATCCAATGATTTCATTATGACTCGATTTCTTTAATCATTGAAAAATCAGTTCCTGCCCTGGCTGGTACGGCTCAGCAGATTCGGTGCTGGCTTACAAACCCAGGGGTTGCCGGTTCAATTCCCAGTCAAGGCACATGCCTCGGATGTGGGCCGGGTCCCCAGTGCGGGGCACGCGAGAGGCAACCACACATTGATGTTTATCTCCCTCTTTCTCCCTCCTTTCCCCTCTCTCTAAAAATAAATAAACAAAATCTTTAAAAAAAAAAACAATTCCTTTGCTGTTTCTTATAGGTTGTTCTCTCCTACCAGACCCTTGGGGTGCTTGTCCTCTTATTGGGTATGTTTGCCAGATCTCTCGCACGGTGGCTCTGTGGTCTGCTTTTTGGTTACTTGGGAGCTTATCTTCAGGGGCATTTGCTTTTGCTGTGGACAGACTCTGCTTTCTGGATCCCCTCCATTTCCTTAGAGGATGGTTTTGCACTTGCTCCCGCCAGCAGCCCCAGTGGTTACACCTCGTGCTAGTCTGAACGCACATGTTAGGTAACCTCCGCACAGGAAGCCGTGCACCACGCTAACAGTGCGTGCACATGCTCCTGAGTTGCCTGTGCAAGGGCTTGGTTTTCATTTGTTACCTCCCTGGCAACAGTCCTTGTGACTTCCTTTGGTGGGTAAACTGTGGTGTCTCTTTAACTGAGGGGAGATATTTTAATCCCAACTCCTCCTCTCAGTTCTTCCATTGTGAGGACGCACTAACCCCAGGCCAGTGTGGTTTGATCGCACATCCTGGGCCTTGTCTCTCAGGACCGCTGTGCTGTACTGACAGTTTGGGTTCTTAGTTCCCTTTTTATCTCTAATATCTGGGATTGTCCCTTTCTCTTGTTTGAGCTCAGCGGTGTGTTAAATAAAGCCTTGCATTTTAAAGCAGCCATTGGGCCAATCATGTGATGGGGAGAGGTGTCCCTGAGCCAGTCCTAGCAGTCTGCGGAGTGGGGGTCCTGCTGAGCAGCCCAGGCCACCTGCGGTCACACTCCCCACCCCCTGGCTGCCTGACCCTTCCCTGGACCACCCCTGCTCCCTCCACAGGGCCTCTGCCTTCCCCTGTCTGGTTCCCCCTCACTCTCAGGGGGAGCCTGCCTCCTCTTCCCCCAGCTAGGTGAGGTCCCCTCTCAAGGGTTCCCCAGCCACAGCCTGGTGCATCGCTCCTTTAGAGTACTTCTCAGGGGCCCTCGCTGGTGTGGCTCAGTGGATTGAGCTCAGGCCTGAAGTGAGGGTTTGTCGGTTTGATTCCTGGCCACGGCACATGTCTGGGTTGCAAGCCAGGTCCCCCAGTTGGCGGTGATCGAAAGACAACCTATTGATGCTCATCTCCCTCTTTTTCTCCCTCCCTTCCCCTCTCTTTAAAAGTAAATTAATAAATAAATCTTTAAGAAAATAAATAAATAAGGTACTCCTCAGTTGACATTTTGCATCTAGTTCTGGGATTATCTGGTAAACATCGAGCTTCCTAAAGGTAGAGACAATGTCTATTTGGCTCTCCGCTCTGCTCCCCTCCCCGCCCAGGGCTGAAGCCTGCCGGTGTTCCATGACTACCCCTCTGTCAGAGGGTCTGCAGCGTCTTTGGGAGCCTTGTTGCGAGGCAGGTCCTGATCTAAGCTCTTTGTCTGATTAACCTTCAGCATAACACTACCAGGTAGGTACTGTTTTTATCTTTGTTTTGCAGATGAAGGAGGTGAGGCACAGAAGGCTCAGCTACCCTGAGCGGTGGGCCGGGTAAGGGATTGCTTCACTGTCACATGAAAAAACCAAGGGCCAGAGAGGGCAAGATTCACGCCAAGGTCACAGGAAAGTCAGTGGGAGGGTGGGACCTGGGGCTTGAGCCTCAGAGCTGCTTCCTCTCCTCCCAGCCCTGGGAATCCTGAATCAGCCTCGTCCCTCCAGTCTCCAGAGGCGATGGCCACAGCTGTTCTGAAGGGTCCTTGTCCTGGCCAGGGGACCCCCTCCCCTCCTGCCGTGTCTCCCACAGTGGTTTCTTGGCTTCCTCACCAACCAGACCCGAGGACAGTGTCCATGGTCTCAAGGGGCCTAAGGTCTCCTGTCAGGACAAGGCTGCCACGGCCCCTTCTTCCCTGATGACATGGGTGAAAGCGACTTCACTTTGGAGGGTGTCCCCGGGAGCTGCGTGGGGACCTTCGCAGGGGGCGGACTTGTCCACAGGGTGGGGGCCTGTCCTCCGCAGGAGGAGAGGCTCCCTGTGCTAGCACGGAGGCCACAAGCCAGGGAGGGAGGTTGCAGTAAGGCTATAAAAGGGCAGTTGGACTAGTGGCCATTCAGGACGGCTACTGACCCCCTCCTGGGAGCGCCATCTCCCCTTCTTCTTGCCCCTCCCATCCCCTTCCTTCCTGGTCTTCCTCCTTTCTGCCTGTTCCCCCTGTCCCACTCGGGCAAGTTCCTGCACCTTTCTCTTCTTGGGCTCTGAGCATTTTGCAGATTGCTTATCTGCGAATTGGGGTAATACCTGCACTTGTATTTTAGGGTTAGTTTGAGGATTAAATGGGAAGAATTAGTAGACCGTGTGTGGCAGTCAGAAGGCTAAGAGCTCAGTTAATAAGACCCATTATTGTCCCCTCCCGTCATTGCAGAGAGTGCTGCAGGACAGGACACAGGACTCCTGGGTCCTCCGTTTCCTCCTCCCGCACAGCCAGCACATCCTCTTTCCCATCCTGTCCCACGTGCCCTTTCTCTCCGGGGAGGCGGGAGACTTGAACTGAGCCTGGTCCTCGGCAGCACCCTGACCCCGCCCCACATGCGCGCCCCGGGTGAGCCAACCCTTAACCCCTAACCTTAATTTCGCATCCACGAAGGGGGCCTGCGCCCGGCCGCGTCCCTTGGGGCTGTCTCTGGGTCCGGCAAAAGTCGCCAAACCCCGGAGAACTCCGAGGCTCCGGCCAGCGCCCGGATCCCCGCCCCCGACTGGCACCTCGAATCCACGTGATTTCCCGGCAGCAGCCGCCGGCTCCCGGCGCAGGGCTGGCGGGCTGCTGGCCCGCGCTGCTTTCAGTTTCGTGCAGAGCGCGGCGCAGCAAGGCGAGCGGTGGGTGAGTACCGGCCGAGGCCACCGAGCGCAGCTGGCGCCGCGCGCCGCGACGGGGATGCGCGTTTCTGGGAGCGGGAAGGCGCGGGTGGGCGCGGGTGGCTGGGGTGCGAATGCGGAACCGAGTGGGGAGAGGGCGTGCCAGGGGGCTCTGGAGCGCGAGGTCCCGGTGGCCATCGGGTGTCATGGCAAGGTGGGTGGCCCAGTGCACACCGACCGGACTGGCAGCACAGACGGGACGGACGGGAGGGACCATGGACGCGGACTGCCAGGACTGCCGGGACTGCCGGACAGACACACGAAAGGGACAGGACGGATGGACTGAGGACCATGTAGGCAGAGTGGAATCCTGCGACCAGGGCAGGGCGCCACCTGCTACCCTCCAGAGTTTGGGGGATGAGCTGCGATCCGCGGAGGAAAGCGGTCGAGATCATCCGGGCTGCGAGCCGGCTCCCAGCCGTGCCTCCCCACCCTCAGGCGCTCCTGTCAGCCGCCGGAGCTTCGACTTCTAATTGATTTCTAAAGAATTACAGAAGTAGCACTGTTCATTAGGCACCATGCGGACTTTTCAGTTTAAACACCTTTTGAAAACCAATTATGGACTATTCCAAACATATGCGAAAGTAGGAGGACTAGAATCACATAGCTTGTCCACGTTCCTTGCCACCACATCTCAGTTTTAACCAAATGGCAGGCAGATAGCATCTCAACCGAAATATTTCAGAATGTATAGCAGATGAGTCATTTTAAAAACAAAACCATCAGCATACTTTAAATATTTTAACAGTAAGTTCTTAATGTCAGACTGTCCAGACTATTTCTAATGAATATTCAAACCTCATAAGTAATAGGTGAGTTCATGCGTATCATTTCGTTACTTGCTTTTTGCATTTCCAAGCACACATGTTGTTTTAGCCATTTTTCTCTCTTGGGAGGCCAGGACCTGGAATTTGCTGGGGTGGTCATTGTGGAGGTTTGGGAGAGGTCCCCTACCTTCAGCACCATTTGCGTTTATTTATAAGTTGGGGTTCTTAGGTTTCTTCTTTGAATGGTTGGGGGTTCTGCGGTCTTAAATGGCTATTTGAAAACCAGCACTTCCCAGTCTCACCAATCCGGGCGTGGTAGGAAGTACGCTGTCCTGCATGGCAGCCTCCTCATTCTCTCCAAGAAGCAATAAGCCCAGAAAAGCACTAGGCTCAGTCTCTGCTGGAGAACAGAGGGGAGGTAAAGCTGGTGGCGTCAAGGTACACCTAGGTTCCCCATCCAGTGTGTCTTCCCCAAACCTTACTGGCCTCCTGGCCAGTGATTATGCCTCGTCTCCAAACATGGCACCAGCTTGACCGGTGCCTGGCACGGCAGGCGGACAGAGAGGGCTCTCAGCCCTTGTATTTGCTGGGTGACCGTGGCCGAACTGCCGGCGCGCCGCAGAGATGTGCTGGTCTGGTCCCAGACCGCCGCAGTAAAGCAAATGTCTCAATAAGGCGAGTCACACACGTTTTTTCATTTTCCAGGGCCTATAAAAGTTATGTTTACACTATATGGTAGCCTATGAAATGTACAATAGAATTATGTCTTAAAAAAACAATGTACATACCTTAATTAAAAAATACTTGAGCCCTGACAGGCGTGGTTGGGCATCGTCCCACAAGGCAGGAGCATTGCCGGTTTGGTTTCCAGGTGGGATGCGTGCCAGGGTTATGGGTTTGGTCCCCGGGAGGTGGCTGATCAGTGTTTCTCTGGTGTGTTGATGTTTTTCTCCCCGTCTCTTTCTCTCTCCCTTCCCCTCTCTCTAAAAATAAATAAATAAAAATCTTGTTAAAAAAATATTTGAGCCCTGACCTGTATGGCTCAGTCGTTTGGAGTGTCGTCCCATAAACCAAATGGTGGCAGGTTTGATTCCCAGTCAAGGCACAGGCCTAGGTTGTAAGACAGAGACACGCAGGGTGCATAGGAGAGGCAACCGATGCAGTTTCTTTCATCAATGTTTCTTTCCTTCATCCTTCCCTCCCTTCCCTTCTCTCCAAAATCAGTGAGCATGTCCTCAGGTGAGAATTAAAACACAAAAACAAAAAAAAACTTGATGGCTAAAAATGCCAGCCCCCTTCTGAGCCCTTGGCCAGTCGTAGTCTTTTTGCGGGCGGAGGGGCTTGCCTCAGTGTTGAGGACAATGCCCTATCAGTGAAGCACGATAGAAAATGAAGCGCGATAGAAAATGAAGCGCAATAAGACGAGGTATGCCTGTCTTTCATCGCTCAGAACCTCACTTTCTCATCTGTAAAATGGGGATTGAACAATACATCCCTCAGAGTGTTTTGTGGGTTGGATGAGATGAACATGAGGTATGTCCAGCACATGGTCAACCTTAAGTACCGCATGAGCACAGTGGGTCCTTGATGGAGGCAGACAAGCAGAAGGGCAAGTTCTTGGTAAGTTTTACAACCTTCTGAGCCTGTTTCCCAGTCAGGTATAGAGGTGGCTGGGCGGGTGCAGGGCCAGGTCAGCCTTCTCGCACCCCAGCACGCATCACCCGCCCCCCTCTCCGCCCCTCTGAGGAGAAAGCTCAGCAGAACTTCTTGGTAGGCCTCTTCCCGTCTGCTGTGGATTAAATTTGTGTCTCTGTAAAAGATATGTTGAAGTCCTAGCCCCTGGAACCTCAGAATGTGGCTTTATTTGGAAATAGGGTCAGAGCAGATGATTAGTGAAGATGAGATCATACTAGAGTAGGTAGGTGGGCCCTTAAATCCAGTATGACTGGTGTCCATACAAGGGAAGCGGGTGAACAGAAAGACAGAGACCCGCAGGGAAGGTGCCATGTGACTCCAGGGGCAGAGGTGGGAAGGATGTGTCTGCAAGCCAAGAACTACAAGAATTGTTGGCAACCGTGAGATGCAGGTAGAGGTCAGGGAGGGTCCTTCCCCAGAGCCTTCAGAGGGACCAGAGCCTTGCCAACGCCGTCATTCAGACTTCTAGCCAGCCTCCAGACCACGAGGGAATAAGTGTCTGTCTTTTATTGCACCCAGTTTTATGGTCCTTTGTTACAGCTGCAGTAAAGCTGAGCCACTGGCTAACCTGCCCAGACTCTCTCCTCTGTCTCCGGCCCAGAGCTGTCCTACCCACTAAACAAATGAACACAAGTGCCAACACTTGGTAAAAACTTCTTGTAGGGTTCTGAGGAAGTGAACTAATGGTTTCCTTTGTCAGATTTATTTTTTGAGTGTTAGCTGGTTGGTAACCCAAACTTTACCTTGGTTGAAACTCCGTCTGCAAGATATCAGGGTAAGAAATGTTCAGACCTGGAGACATTTTTATGAGTTTGTTTGAGACAAACTGACAACAGTTCCTGGAAGCAAAATCTCAATGAATTGAGAAAATGTTCCAAAGGAGGCATTTGGCAGCTTATTTTATACGCTATAATCAAAGGAGCAGATGTAAAGAGGGTTCCATGACATCCACTTGTGGCAGATTAGGGAGGGGGGAGAAAGCAAAGGAGGAAATCTCTGGGACTGAATAACAAGTAAAACAGAGGGACACAGCCCTCTTTTACATTCGTGGGTACAAGATAGTTAATATTAATATATATAGTACATAGCCCCGGTTGGTGTGGCTCAGTTGGTTGGAGTGTCCTCCCATAGACCAAAAGTTGTCGGGTTCGATTCCCAGTCAGGACACATAACCAGGTTGCGGGTTTGATCTCCGTTTGGGGCACGTACAAGAAAGCAACAGATTAATATTTCGTGCGTGCTCGCTCTCTCTCTCTCCCCAAAAAGCAATGTAAGAAATGTCCTTGGGTGAGGATAAAAATTTATATATGATTTTATATATGTCTTTAAGGAGAGCATACAGGAGTAGATCTGCAAGGTCCAAGGGAATATGCAGTTTGAACTTTGATAAATACAGCAATTTAGCCTCTTTAAGGGTCCTACTAATTTTTCCCCCCACACCCTTCCCAACAACCTTTTTGCATTATCAAATTTTTCCATATTTGTAGACTGGGAAATGAATAATGGTGTCGATTTTTCCTGTTTCTTTTATCATGAATGATGTTGAGAGTCTTTCAAAATATTTAAGGGCCAGTCGTATTTCCTTTTCCATAAACTGTTCATATCCTTTGCCCACTTGTCCATTGGGCGGTTGCTCTTTTCCCTATTGAGCTGTGAAAGCACTTTACATATTAAGAAATTAGCTCTTTGTCTGCAATATAAGCACACTGTCATTTTAAGTGTCTGCTTTGTTGTCTGTAGAATGAGCCACATCCATCTTTGTTAAACATTTAGGCAGGGCCTTGTTTTTCCTATTTTATATAAAGAACAAGATGGGACATTTTACTTCCCTCTCTCAGGAATTGCTCTCAGGGAAGGAAGTATTTTCAGGAAGAGACTTTGATAGGATCAGGGTGGTGTGGCCTGGGTGCAAAGTGCTCAGCAGGGACCAGGATTTTTAGGGGGACGACGACTCTGCAATGAACATGTATGTGGGGTGGGGTGGGGTGCTGTATTTGCTCCTAAAAGGAAGGGAGTGGGGGAGACGTGGGGAGAGGCTAGGCCACACAGGGAGAAGACCCCCCAAAACTTCTTGGTAGTAGGATGGCCGAAGGGCATTTTCAGTCCAGCAAGACCCACTGCTCCATGTGAAACAGGTACTGACAACAGACTCCCACTCGGGCTCGGCCCAGCAGCCACGAACCTGCTCTGCTCGCTTCTGCTCAGTTTCTTCCCTCTGTGACAGGCACCTGCAACAGCTGGGAGCATGACAAAGTCCCCACCCCCTGAAGCTGATGTGACAATAGGAGCACGCAATAAACAAGCACACAGAGATACATGGTAAGCCTCAGGTGGTGGGGACCGAGCCGGAAGCCAGAGAGGGGACAGACGGAGGGAGACCTCAGGCTTGGCCTTCCATTGGGAAAATGGAGGGCTGTGCGGCAGGAGCTGTGAACCATGACGTCTGGGGAAAGAAGGAGCCAGGCAGAGACAATGGGGAGAAAAGAGGAAGCGGGGCAGGGGA